TATCCATTCTATATGTAATATCCATTTTATGTACATATGCTCTCTCTATATCATATATATCCTATATATCTCTACTCTATATATCACATATATATCTATATATATCCATATGTGTATATAGAGAGATATAGAGAGAGAGAGACAGAGAGAATATTCACTTTAACAGGTGTGACATTTCATTGTAGATTTGCTTTGCATTTTCCTAATGATTAGTGATGTTGAGCACCTCTTCACATACCTATTGGCCGTTTCTATGTCTTCTTTAGAGTAACATCTATTCAGGTTAGTTGTCCATTTTTTATTTTGCGTACTTGAGTTTCTGCTATTGAGTTTTGTGAATTTCCTATAAATGTTGGATTTTAACTATTGATCAGATGTACAGTCTGCGAATACTTTGTCCTGTTCCATAGGTTGCATTTTCATTGTGTTGGTTGTTTCCTTTACTGTGTAGAAACTTTTAACTTTTTTTTTTTTTGAACTCAAGATCTTGTGCTTATAAGGCAGGAACGGCACCAGTGAGCTAAATCCCCAGCCCTGAGAAACTTCTAACTTTGATGCAATATTACACATTCATTTTTTATTTTGTTGCCTGACATTTAGTCATCTCAAATAATTTGTGCATGGGCCTATATCAAGAAGCTATTTTTTCTGTTTTCTTCTGGTATTTTTGCTGTCTTGTGCCTTACAAGTCTAATTCATACTGAATTGATTTCTGTATATAGTGTGAGATAAGGGTCAAATTTTATTCTTCTCCATTTGGATATCTAGTTTTGCCATTTATTGAAGAGATTTTCCTTGTTGTGTTTTCTCCAATATTTCTCTTTTGTGTTTTCTTGGCATCCGTGTTGAAGATGTAGATGTGTAGATTTATTTCTAGGTTCTCTTTTCTGTTCCACTGATTTTACCTTTCTGTTTTATGCCACCAACATCCCATTTTGATTAATGTTTTGAATATATTTTGATATCAGGAAGTATAATGCCTCCAGTTTATTTTCCTTGCTGAAGATGGCACTGGCGATTCAGGACCTTGAGTTATGACATATGAATTGTAGGATTTTTTTTCCTTCTTCTTATATAATGAGTGTTGTTTGGATCTTGATGTACATCACACTGAATCTGCAGATCATTTTGGGTAGGAGGAACATTTTAACACTATTCATTCTTCCAATCCATTAGTATGCGTGTCTTTCATTTATGTGTGTCTTTTTTAAAGTGTTTTTTAAAATTCCCTACATTAATTTTTCATAACTTTAAGTGTACAATTCCTTCAACTCTAGATTATCTTATTCCTAAGTAGTTCATTTTTATTACTATTTTAATTGTTTTATTAATTTGTTTTCTGGATAACTTCTTGTGTAGAGAAATGGTATTGATTTTTGTAACCTTCAACTTTACTGAATTTGTTTGTTCCAAATTGTTTTAGTTTTTGTTGAGTCTTTAGTATTTTCTGTTTACATAATCTTGCTATCTGAAAACATAGATAATTTTATATTTTTCTTTCTGATTTGAGTTTCTTCCCTAATTGTTCTGGGTAGGACTTCTGGTATTATGTTGAATGTAAGTAGTGACAGTGGGCATTCCTGCCTTGTACCATATCTTAGAGAGAAAGTTTTAATTTTTTTCCCATTGATAATGAGTTAAGTTTGGGCTTTTCACATCTTACCTGCATTAGGTTGAAATTGTTCTTTCTTCTTTTTTTTTTTTCCATTATGTTTATTGGTACATTTTAGGCATAAAATGCAGTTACATTCATCATTGGGATCTTGTACCTTTACATGATGTATCTTGGTTCTTATTTTTTCCCCATTCCCCTGCCCTCCCTTCACCCCCTCCACCCTTCCCTATTTGCAAAGACTTTGTTTCCATATTTTTTTTCTCATATTTTTCTTTTCCCTTCTTTCCTTTCCCCCACCCCTCACTTCCCCTACTCCTTTAGACCTTTTCTTCCTATTTCACAATATCAATTATACATTTTGAGCCTTATTTATACTTTTAGTTTTTCACACCAGAGAAACTATTCAGTATTTACACATGTGTGTCCTATTTATTTCACTTGAGTATGGCCTCTGAAGTTGTTTCTTCTGTGCTTATTCTACTGAGAGCTTTTAACATGAATGGTTGCTTACTTTTTTCAAATGCTTTTTCTTCATTTATTAAAATGGTAATGTGGTTTTTATCTTTCAGTCAATTAATATGATGTGCTACACTGAGGCATATGTTGAATAATCTTTGCATCACAGAGATAAATCTCACTTGGTCATGGTGTATGACCCTTTTAATGTGCTATTGACTCTACAATTTCTTAATTTATTTATTAAGGGTTTTTCTGTTTATTAATCAGGGATGCTGAACTCTTGTTTTGAGGGGGCATTTTGTTTTGTTTTGCTTTGCTTTGCACTGTTTGTGGTGTCCTTGCCTGGCTTTGGTATCAGGATGAAATGAGTTTGGAAATATTTCCTTTTCTTCCACTTTTTAAGAAAAGTTTAAGAAGGATTGATACTAACTGAATTTTTGATAACCTGCTTTTTACTAAATTAGAGTAATTAATAAAGAGTATTAATATGTAACATTCACAGATTGATTTTCATGTACTAGTCATCACAGTATACTTTTTATATATTAGTCATCATGTACCATGCATATATTTTTATTTCTTTCAGTCTCATCTGAGGTTCTGCACAAAGTAAGTTTATTATTTTCTAGTCTTACATAAGTCTTATATAATCTCAGACAGAAATTTTAGAATGGCAATAAGATATGTCAAGAGATTTTACATGACTTCAAGGTTTGGATTCATAATGGCATATCACAGTGCAGGAGACCAGCTTGAAACCACATTGAACAGGCTATAAAATATTATTGAATTAGCCTATAAATTGGCTTATAATTCAGCTATTGATTAAAATTATGAGTCATTCCAAGGCCTATGTGTGATTTGCTAAACAAACCTATGGCTGGTGTACGGAGACAGAATTCCCTATGCCAATGGTCACAATTGAGATCTCAATGGTCGACAAGATTGTAACATCTCTAAGAGCAAAAGACACTGCCGCTGAGGAATTATGACTGTAAAGCCATTCTCTGAGATCAAACGTTAGCTACAGATAGCACAGGTGGCTTGTTAACTGTGACCTGTCCTTCACAAGAATACATAGTTACCCCCTTTTTCAAGCCCGGCTCATTAGTGCCTTAAGTCCCGCTATTCTTTACCTCTGCCTTGGTGCCCTTTGGTATGTTGTATAATCATAAATACTGACTAATCCAGAGTTGGTGGTTTTATCCAGGAAAGACCTAAGATCAGATCCCACCCCGCTAAGAAATAAACAATTCTTTATGCTTTATTATTTTTTCTTTGCTCTGTTATTCTTTCATCCTCTGCTGTACCCTCAATAAGGCAATAGGGCATCCCCCAATAACTGGTCAGGCATTCACCCAACATCATGGTAATAATTAAATGTCAGTAATAAAGCCTTTTATACTAATAGTCATTATAGTAGATCTGAGGTTGGCTTCATTTTTTTGTGAAAGTTAAGAAGGAAATTTGAGCAAGTAAACTGATACTGTTCTCTCAAATTTTAGTCCACTTACTCAGGAAACTCATGGAGTTATCCTGTTTATTAAAAAAAAAACAAAAACAAAAAACTTTAGAACTAGAAGAACAGAAGTAAATTTTAAAATTAAATTTACTCAAGTCATCCCTGGGGCTTAATCGCACTAGTCTTTAGTGAGCAGAAGTGGATGTCCTGACATCCTAATAGACTCTACAGGAGGAAACAATTCCTTCCCAAGTATATTAAAGAGAGACAAGAAGAGAAAGGAGAGACATTGAAAACAGATGTGGAATTTACACATTTTTCATCTCTTATTAAGACACATTTACTCTGGCCAGCACAGAAGTTCTTTACATTGGATAAAGTAGTGAGTGACTCTTCCTTGCTTCAAAAGGATCAGCCATTTGTCAATATTCTGTAGTGTACATAATAAGAAAATATAAATTGAAAACAATAGGTAGCTTAGTCTCTCATTGAGAAGAAACATGTTCCTTAAATCCTTTGATAATCCACACACAACAGCCATATGAGTTAAGTACTATTCTCATTCCCCATTAGAGAAGCTGAGATTCAGAGGTGGTAAATAATTTCCTTGAGATCTCAAATCTCTAATTTCCGACCCTATGATCTTAGGTATAGTGTACTCCTCCCTCTCATAGTGATCCCATTCATTCATGTGGATTCCTTTGTGTTTCTCGAGTACTCCATTGGTATATATTACATTTCATTCCTTTTCTGCTTAGACTTTCCTCTTCACAAGGAGATCTGATGAGATAAGACCAAGAAGAGTAGGATAAGGCCAAACTCTGCAGCACCATCCAGCTGCTGTTAACTCCAATGATACTCTGAGCTTTTCATAGGAGAAAATAAATAGATATTTCCCTCTTAATTTCCACATTTCAGGGTCCTACCCAACAATCTACATTTCCTTGTTTAGAAGCCTAGAGATGAGTTTGCAAAAAATATTTGGAAAAAACTACAGGGGGGCTGGGCTTTTTCCTTATTCCTAGTGTCCTTGGCCAGTGAAAAATTTTAATGTACGAAAGTGTCTGAGAATAAAAATCAAATCAATGGTGTGGTTATAATGTCTTTGAATATGACTTCCCTAATATTTAAGGCATGACCAATGACCATTACAATTACATAATCAATTTCTAGAAATCTTAAAAATACAATCTCAGAGAAAGCCTAACCCAAAAAGAGCAGTCAATATATATGTAGGGAGAGAAGTATGTTTTTAAAATAATTGTTTGCCTCTTTTTCAAACCAAGTATGTTAAATCTGATATATAGAAAAGCAAAAAAAAAATGATTAACAATATTGTACTAGCAAAAAAATTATAAGTATGTATTAAAAGAGAAATTTGGCCCAATTATTTAAAAAAAAGACTTCTGGCTCCCCAACTCTCATCCAGCAGGAAGTAGTCCAAGGAAGCTATTCAGTCTCTCACACATCTTTTATTATTCTGATGAAACAGGGAAGATACATTCAGACAAGAGAGTACAAGCCATTGAAAAGCTACAGGCAATAGACCTGGGAACTGCTTCTGCTAAGCAATAAGTACAGTAGGGTGGGAAGCAGCTTTCAAGGAGAAGTAATAGGCTTGCTCACAAAAATTCTTTTTCCAAACTAGGCACAACTGCCAACATTTCTCCCTGTGAGATTTCAGAATTGCTATGGAGGAGTGACAGCTGTACGCCTTTCTTGCTCTTCCATCTTTGAAGTGGATGTCTCTCCTGAAGTCATCCAGTCTCTGCATCACTGTGGTATGTTGATGTTGAGTGGAAGATAATGTTTCCTTTTGTGTCTTGAGATTATGGAAAAAAAGAGTCACATCTGAGCCATAACCAGATATATCACAAATCACAAAACCATAAACTTTAACCTTAATGGTATATAATTAGATGAGAATTTTTGCATCCTGGGTGAAGATATGTGGGAAGGATATATATATACATGACAGAATTTTGTGGTAGAAAAAAATATTGACCACAATTTTTTTTCTTATTTTCCTACACATACCTCTGCAGTGTGTCTTTCCAGATCCATGAAGAGATAAAACCTATTTCTTAAACCTGGCTTGGTATTGTAACATGTTAGTAACATGTATCAAGCAAAAGCCTAAGAAATATTTGCACTTGAGGATCACTCTCTTTTGCTACTTTTGGGGATATGCAACTATTATCATGAATAGAAGCCCAGGATGTCATTCTAACATACAATTGTCATATATGTCAGGTCTGTCTCACCATAGTTGCTATCTAAGAATTTACCTTACCTTTGAAAGTTAGGATGGAGTACACATCACATATTATCTAACACCTTCCACTTGTGTGTAATGTCCCATAGTAATCTGCAGTTCTGTCCTGCTCTTCTCAGGTCATGACTCACAGACTCAGGCAGGCACTCCCTGTAGGAAAGGCAGTCATAAAATAACATAGACCAGGATGCAACAGTATACCTAAGTATCATGCTTTCTCAAAAGGAAAAGCACATCCCTCATCTATTTTATCTTTATATATAAAGGTGATGTTTTGATCCTTTTGTGCATTAGTCTTTTGTCTTATCATAGCATTGGATCAGAAACTGTAAGGAGAGCCTGATATTACTGATTTGGCCCCTCATGGATTCTAACAATGAAGATGAGGCTGTAATTCCCTCTTCTACACATGCCTTTAAGACATTTGCATTAATCCCTGAAAGGACACAGGAAGACATTGATGATTTATACATTTGACAATTGTATATATCTGACTAAGCAATAATATTCATTACTCCTCAATGGCATAAGTCAAAACAGATTTATTCTATGCAAATGACAGAACTTTTAGCTGTCCATAGGAATTATCAAAAAGCAAATCTGGAATTCTGATTCTGAAAAGGCAAGATTATATACCAATATCTCTTATGTAACCATTCTGAGGGATCATTAAGTTGGGTTTTTTTTCCTATACAGTACAGCATTTCTGTTCAACAATGTCACTGCCCTTGTCAGTGAGTGCATTATACAATCACTTCTACACTGCTGGAAGAGTGCAGTAAAGGTACCTGGAGTTAAAATCTTGAGATAACAAGGAAAGAATAAGAAAGACAGACAAACAAAAGGGATATAATCCATCAATGGCTGTGGCAGATGGAGGAGAGACATATGAGATATCGTTGATATAACTGGATGGAAGCAGATGTATCAGTTAGAGATAGTTACTTGTCTGTTTGTTCCTGCTGATACTCAGCACCCATAACAGTGTCTAACAGGATAAAATACAAACTAAAGAAGAAATGAAAACAAGAGATTGCTTGTGATTTGTGCTAGACTCTGATCTTACCTTGATTAGCATCCCCTGTCTGTGTCCTTAGAACAGAGACCTAATTGCATAGTTTTCCATGTCTATGGCAGGTATTTAACAAAATGACAGATACAGCAACACATCAGAAATATTCAATGATGTAATAGTTATCATTGTATTGCAATTTCTTAGACTTCCTAGAAATTAGTTATATTCCAGGGAAGTAAACAAGAAGGGATCGGGAATGTTTCCCAAAAACTTATCTTTTGGGGCACACCTAAGGAACCCCAAGCTAGAGATCCACTGATTTACGTATAGACAATTCTCAGGTAATTGCAGGGGCTTTGAGTGCTCAGACCCTTCCTCTGGCTGCCTCTTGCTTTGCTGGCACTCCAGTTGGCTGGCTACCTATGCTGATAGTGCAAGTCATGGGATTATCAGATTGACCACATGCCCTTTGCTTTTCTTTGTTTTTGTTTTGTTTTGGAACAGAGACAGGAAAGTTGACTGGGGCCCCAGAGATCCATGAAAATAAAAAAGGCAGCAAAGGAAGACGGGAGAGAAATTTGCAGTGATAAGTGATTTCTCCTGTGAAAGTCATGAGAGAGTTTGAATCTGGCAGAAGCGAACTGGCACCGTGGATCAAGAGTTAACCCACAGGGATGCCAGAATAACATCTCCTGAGACATGTCTCTAAATTACATCAAAAACTTCTATGAGGGATGTGTAAGTACTATGCAAAACATCAATTTGTATGAGTTTCGACCATATCTTTTAAACTCATTTGCATGAACGTTGATGAATAAATTCCTCTACATTTTTTATGAATAATGTAAATAATAGCTTGCACTTCAAAAATATTTTTAATTTAGAACTATAAATAGAAAAATTCAGAAAGTATTTTCAGTTGTTCGTGTTTTACAATACCTCATCCTCTCAACTCCTTATTCAAGGAATGGGGGAAAAGAAGTTGTAGTGACTATTAAACAAACATCATTTAGTTGTTAAGATAGTGTGTACTAAGTTTAATACTGGATTTGTCATGTAATTTACCAAAAGAGGTACTGTATTTTGTAATAGTCTCATGGTTTTATTTAAAAAGATTACAGAGGAAGAGGATATTAATTGAATTTAAAGCTGTTTAAATATATATTTGATTAGTGTTATGTCCCTATTTGACTATTTCGTTTCCTACTTTAAGAGGGAAAAGGTGTAAGAAGTCTTATACTGCAGGGTTTGTGTTTGATTTGATGATGTCTCACGGCCTATCTTGCTTTAAAACTTTTGAATCTTTACTTTCTTAAATGTCATCACAAGAATATCATTTAAGATGTCCCCTCTTAGTGTTTGTTTTCAACTGCTTTTTTTCTTTCTCCTAAAATCTTAACAGCTTAAACCACCAACCGTGATTGGTCAATTCCACACCCTTTTCTTTGGATCTGTCCAGATGTTCTTCCTTGGAGTGTTAGTGTTTGTGGTTTATGGGAATGAGGCTTTGCATTTTAGCTGTGATCCAGACAAAAGAGAGATCAACCTTTTCTGTTACAATCAGTTCATCCCAATCACACCACAGGTAAATTTCTCTGTTTCCCTATAAACATTGACTCTACAATGGAAACATTTTTTTTTCCTTTTAAAATGTAAAATAATGTCATAAAGAGATGTACTTTAACATGGTTTTGAGAATTATATTACTTTTTCTTTAATTGACTGTATATTTCAGAAAAATTAATTGGAGTTGGTTAGGACCTTCTTCCAAATCCAGAATTCTGTGATATATCAAAATTACAATTATACTTCAGACTTGCATTTAAAATAAAGAGATTAGGAAGCTACAAAAATTAAGTGATTCCTCATTATCAGTAATTGATAGGCAATGATGGTAAAATATGACCATATTTTCCTTTTTAATTTTCTATATTTTCACAATAACTATGTGTTTAAATTTTAAATATATTACTGAGGTATGTTAAATATTGCTGTGCCCTTTCTATTTTTTATTGTTTATAAGACTTTTATGAAACTTGGAATTCTTGTTAGCTTTTGCTGAGAGTCCGAATTTTTATTGTATTTTTTGTTATACATTAACTAATTTTGACCAAGACATTTCTGATACACTTTAGGTATTCTGGACATTGCAACTAGTGATTATCCTGGTTCCTGGAGCTATATTCCATGTTTATGCTGCATGTAAAAAGCATCAATCAAGAATGCATTCTTCAAAAGCCCATCTACACTGTGATTTACATTCTCTCTGTCTTGTTAAGAATTAGTCTAGAAGTGATAGCATTTTGGCTTCAGGTTCACCTCTTTGGTTTCCAAGTAAAACCTCTTTAGTTGTGTGATGCCAGTTCTCTTGGGAAAAAAAATGACTACTGTAAGATGCATGGTTCCAGAACACTTTGAAAAAACCATTTTTCTCATTGCGATGTATGCATTCACTGTAATTATAATGGTATTATGTGTTGGTGAGGTTTTTGAGATCATATTTAGAAGACTATGTTTTCTAGTTAGGCAATAACAAAGGTTGATAACCTATTGTCATGTCATAGCTATTAATCATTTTTATTTAGTTTTATCTTAGCCAAGTATCTCAATTCCAAAACAAATATCTGTTCCTTAAACACTAAGATGTCTGAAATATATGTCTACTATAAAATAAAACAGTAAGTTCTAGGACAGGAATTGTCAGACAAACATTTCATTCTATTTTAATTTTTATCAGTTATTTTGTTTTAAAGTATACACAGAACTAATGTTAACTCATTTTTAAATAGAACTTTTACAGACTTCACTTGTGTACAACATCTAAATTGATCACAGCATTTTTTGGACAGAGAAACTTTTATTGTCTCTTTTACAGAGAGAAAAATATTGTTCAGGGATGCTCATTTACATGCAGTCATACAGCCAACTAGAATCTAAATCTTCCTATTTCCCTTTCCATTGAACCATGTAGTTTTACCTTTGAGGATATAATTATTTTTGCATTTTTGGAAAATATAACTTATTCAAGCACAAAAATTATAAATTAATTATTAAAGAATAAACCTATAGTTTGACCACTAACCTGAAAAGTTAGAACAATTACGTTTTACTATTATATTATTTCTTGAAATATTTAATATTAAATGATACAGAAATATAGTCACCATAATAAATTTAAAATGTAATGGATAATATTGTGCATGGTTTTCTTGTTTCTTATTGTACCCATAGATATCCAGGAACAATAACTACGATATTCAAGATTATTGAAATGGAAAATTATGTTTATATTACATTAACTTCCTTAATAGCTATGAAATTACTTCAAAGGCAATTTTGTATCAATTCAGTGCATTTCTATCTGCCTGCTTTACTAACAATCATCTTCATTTTATTTCCTGTAAAATCTTTATGCATTACACCTTATACTGGTGAGTTTTTAGGGAAATAATTATAGTCAGCCAAATGCTAAGGTTTTAAATTTTTTATTAAGCATTAACCAGTGTATATTTGATATCATGACTTTCTGGAGTTGGGATTTCTAAATTAATTGAGCTTTCTCCACATGAAAGCACAAGAAAAAAAATCCAACTTTCTTTCATTCAACAAATAGCAACTGAGTACCTATTATATAACATGTACTACATTAAGAGTTCATATAAAGAGAATTAAAGTTTAGTATCTATATTGGATTACATTCAACTGGGTGGTCCAGGGGCAGGCCAAAGGTGTGGGGACTGGTGGAATAACCAACCCACCCTAAAGGGAAAGAATATTTATTCACTGTTTTATTTAGAAACACTGGCCCTTAGTATTGATACATAGTAACAATATTTAATCTTTTAATTATTATATCAAAATTGTATGTAGGTAATATACTCCTTCATTGTTTGCATCCAACATGGACTGCTTCTACTAGCCCTCCCCCAAATTGAGGCCTCGCCTTCATGGGTTGTGTCTTTTTTCTTGCATCTGTTCAAGATTGGTAATTATTAATTGCATGTCATACATTGTGTCTTTTATCTTGCTGGATGCTAGGCAGTTGTCTACTCATAACATTCTTATATTTTGTTGTAGAATACAGTTATGTCACTTAGAAACAGATAAGCTTTGTTAAATGGCAAAAGGATAGTAT